TGTTATAATACTGTTATAATACTGTTATAATACTGTTATAATACTGTTATAATACTAATATAATATAATACTGTTATATTACTGTTATAATACTGTTATAATACTGTTATAATACTTATTTCAGACATTTTTCGTGTCAGAACAGTCTCTGATGAAGATGAAGCTTTTCATGGGTTAAATGTTTAAACTGCAGGAGGAACGACCTGAACAACAATAAAGACAGGACACTTTGTCCCTCAGACCACCTGAGTCAGCGTCCATGGGGATGAGTCCCTCTGGAGACGTGCTCTGGACCACCGGAGACACCACGGCAGAGATCCTGTAGCAGACACAGATCAGGTCTGAGACCAAGACTCTCCACTGCTCGGTCTGACTCAGACTCCTGAAAACCCAGAGAGGAAAACAGCTGAAACACACAGAACCAGAACCAGAATCAGAAGAATATCTTGCTGTGGTTTCAGAACTCACTCTGGGTCCAGACTCTGTAGGACCGCCGTGATGCAGTGAGTTCTGCCGTAGAGAGGAAAGGAAGCCGCCGCCTGCAGAAGAGATGACTCCGCCCACAACACCTCTGACTGCAGACAGAGCAGCAGGAACCGGACCACTGAAAACAGACACATGGACCGGTTCTGAAAAGTTCTGTTCTGTGTCTGAACACCTCTGACTGCAGTCAGTGAGTGGACCTCACCTGCCAGAGTGTTGAGCTCCAAGACAAGCGCCTCAGAGGCCTGATCCGGTGGGGTCCAGACCTGGAGGTCCAGGCCTTGGTCCTGAGCGCAGCGCAGCAGAACCTGGATCAGTTCTGACTGATGGAGCAGCAGGTGGAGGAGGTGGGCCGCTGTCACGCTGTCAAAAGGTTTGGTGCTGGTGCTGAGGTCCAGAGCGGTCTGAAGGACCCCGTACATCCTGTCCATGTCCTGGAAACACAAAGAACTAAGAACCAGGACTCTGCCCACCTGGACTGGACCCTGACCAGACCCACCTGGACCCAGCTGGACCCTGATCAGGTCCACCTGTACCCTGATCAGACCCACCTGGACCCTGATCAGACCCACCTGGACCCACCTGGACCCTGATCAGACCCACCTGGACCCACCTGGACCCAACTGGACCCTGATCAGACCCACCTGGACCCTGGTCAGACCCACCTGGACCCTGGTCAGACCCACCTGGACCCTGGTCAGACCCACCTGGAGGCCCACAGCAGGTGCAGGAAGCTGCAGCAGCAGGGACGAGCTCAGCTGTTTGACTAACAGGAAGTTACTGGAGACGCAGCTGAGGACGTTCTGAGCACGAGCAGGAGACACCACCTGTCCCAGAGCGAAGACATCAGGCTCTGAGGACACAGGTGAGGGGTGGAGGACACAGGTGAGGACACAGCTGAGGACACAGCTGAGGACACAGGTGAGGACTGAGGACACAGCTGAGGACACAGCTGAGGACACAGCTGAGGACACAGCTGAGGACACAGCTGAGGGGTGGAGGACACGTACCTGTAGAGAAGCTGAAGATCTGACTCAGCAGGTTGAGTAGACTCAGAGTCAGGAGACACCTGGAGAAGGACGCTCCGGGGGACAGTCCGTCCAGCAGCTCCTCACAGATCCAGACAACAAAGTCCTGCAGGGACACAAGACGTCTCAGTTTCCTTCAGTCTGAGCTCAGAGTCCTGCTGCTCTGCTTCACCCTGTATCTGTGGAGTGTCTGCTGGTCCTGGTCCTGGTCCTGGTCCTGGTCCCGGCTCTGTCTCTTGCGCAGCAGCTGGCTGCTGTCCCGGACTCTGCACAGTACCTGGACACGGTGGACAAGGTGGACATGAGGACATGAAGTCGGAGCAGAGCAGCTGTCAGCACAGACCCACCTTCTTCATCAGACCAAGCGTCTGCTGCCGGACCGCAGCTGATTGGCTGTTCAGGTTTGGAGGCAGGAAGTGTCGGATCAGGTCCAGTTCCTGTGAGGTCAGCAGCTCTGTGCTGCGGGGACTGTCACACAGCAGTCCCAGAGCGTCCATCCTGACCTGGAGACCAGCCTGAGGTCACTCAGAGCCCACAGCAGCTCTCAGCTGAAGCATGGAACTCACCTGATCATGTTTGTGGACCAGGACCTGCTGCAGCAGGGAGACCGGTACCAGACCTCCACACAGACCCTGTTCTGTAGAAGTCATCAGGCCTTGGGTCCGGGCTGCTCTCAGACACGTGATCAAGGCCCCCCGCGGACCCCGACTGCCTGCAGGACCTGAAGACATGAAAACAGCTCAAGTCTGACATCATCCTGAGGAAGTGCAGCTGATCTGAGGGAACTTCTGAGTCCTGGACCTGCTCTGCAGAGCGGAGGATCCTGCAGGACCTGCACCATGTGAGCCAGACTGGACGGGCTGCAGCGCAGCAGCTTAGGCAGGAAGTAGTCCAGGATGTAGGTGGTCTGGTCCAGCTTTGTGAGGCACAGCACCCTGAGGAGCGGGGTCACCCAGGTCTGGTGCCAACGCTCCATCCAGTCCTCTGAAGAGTCCTCTGAGGCCTCCAGCTGCTCCTTGTGGCTCAGGAACAGCTTCTCCAGCAGCTCACTGGCATACGGAGCCAGGGTCTGGTCCCCCATCAGGTTCAGGAGGTCTGAAGGCAGCTGGGGCTGGATSTCCAGCAGGAACCGGGCCCCGTACAGCTCCACCAGGCAGCCCAAAGAACCGTACTTGCCCCTCAGGTGCCACTCCAGGCTCAGCAGGTTGGAGGTGAGCTCTCTGATGTAGGGGTCCTCGGCCGGCTCTCTGGTGGTCCGGGCGGTGCAACGATGGACGAGGAGCAGGTTCCGGAACAATGAGCGGGTCTGATGGCGGACACCGTCCAGAGGATGCTCCCAGTGGGAGTAAATGTGCTCCAGCAGGTGTTTCTGCAGCTCAGAGTCTGCTCTGAGGGACACCAGGAGGCTGGGGGGACAGAGGACCGTCTCTGCCTGGACACAGTCCAGAGCAGCGCCGCTCCACAGGGTCAGGCCCCGGGCCACCACCATGGCAGTACTGGACTCTTTGACACTAAGAAGACAAACGGGCAGCTTTACAGCTCATGTAAGACTTCAGGATGTTTGATGGAACCAGACCAGTTTTACCTGACGTCCAGGCCCAGCAGGGTCTCTGGGACMAGCAGAACCAGTTCTTCCCACTGAGGACCCATCAGTGCCCCTTTCCAGTTCAACATGGCCAGAGCCCCATGACACAGATACAGAGAGACACCTGGAGGGCGTCCTCTGGACCACAGACCAGCACAGGCCTGGATCAGCCAGTCAGGAGCCGAGTCCAAACCCTGAACTGAACCCCGCAGCAAACTGCAGATCTGAGACACAACAGACACACAATTACAAGCTAACACAAACAAACAAGCATTTACAATCATACAAACACAAACAAACAGTTACAAATATTTTTAAAGAACTGTTGCTGCTTCAGAACAACAGGATGACTTTAGTCCAAATAAAAAACAGGCTCATTTCATGTCAAAGTTCTCACAGGTAGTTCAGTTTGGTTCTTCTTCAGGACAAAAATAAACATTAAACTAAGGTTTGGTTCAGAACTCACCACAGAAGCCACCTGGTCTCCAGATACCAGGATGGTTCGGATCAGCAGAACCACAGCCATACCTGCTGTGCTCTGAACCGACTGGATAAAGTCCTCTACAGGTGGAGACATGAGACGTGACAAACAAAACGTTCCTCGTTCTATTTACAGAAAAATGTGTTTGCTCTGAGTTTAACTTCTCACCATCAGTCAGGATGTGAATGTAGCAGCTCAGAAGACTAACCAACGTGTCCTCCAGCTTCCTGTGGTCCTGGTCAGCCTGCAGAACTCCACTTAGCAAGTCTTGAGACCTCTGAAGGACCAACATGGAGGTCTTCACTGCAGCAAGGCACGAGTGCATCAGCTGCGCTTGGGCAATGTGACGACCTGCAAGACTCCTGACAAACCAGCAGGGGTCAGCAGAGACACAAAAACCAAAAACAGTTCCCCTGAGTTTAAACAGAATACATGAAGTTTAACAGGAAGACCAGGTTTGATCAGAGAAGTCAAGATGAATAAATCTAACACAACACAAACTGGAAATTAATGTTTAAAATTATTATAGGAACTGATTTATGCCCCCCTAAACGAGTCTAAGAATTGTGTTACAGATGACATTGCTTGATAGACAAATCGGTTGGTAGACCAGTCAGTATGTTGGTAGACCAGTCAGTATGTTGGTAGACCAGTCAGTATGTTGGTAGACCAGTCAGTATGTTGGTAGACCAGTCAGTTGGTTGGTAGACCAGTCAGGTGGTTAGTAGACCAGTCAGTATGTTGGTAGACCAGTCAGTATGTTGGTAGACCAGTCAGTATATTGGTAGACCAGTCAGTATGTTGGTAGACCAGTCAGCATGTTGGTAGACCAGTCAGTCAGTTGGTAGACCAGTCAGTCAGTTGGTAGACCAGTCAGGCGGTTGGTAGACCAGTCAGTATGTTGGTAGACCAGTCAGTCAGTTGGTAGACCAGTCAGTATTTTGGTAGACCAGTCAGCATGTTGGTAGACCAGTCAGTCAGTTGGTAGACCAGTCAGTCGGTTGGTAGACCAGTCAGTATGTTGGTAGACCAGTCAGTCAGTTGGTAGACCAGTCAGGTGGTTAGTAGACCAGTCAGTATGTTGGTAGACCAGTCAGTCGGTTGGTAGACCAGTCAGTATGTTTGTAGACCAGTCAGTTGGTTGGTAGACCACTCAGTATGTTGGTAGACCAGTCAGTCAGTTGGTAGACCAGTCAGTTGGTTGGTAGACCACTCAGTATGTTGGAAGACCAGTCAGTCGGTTGGTAGACCCGTCAGTCAGTTGGTAGACCAGTCAGTCGGTTGGTAGACCAGTCAGTATGTTGGTAGACCAGTCAGTATGTTGGTAGACCAGTCAGTATGTTGGTAGACCAGTCAGTATGTTGGTAGACCAGTCAGTATGTTGGTAGACCAGTCAGCATGTTGGTAGACCAGTCAGTCAGTTGGTAGACCAGTCAGTCAGTTGGTAGACCAGTCAGGCGGTTGGTAGACCAGTCAGTATGTTGGTAGACCAGTCAGTCAGTTGGTAGACCAGTCAGTATTTTGGTAGACCAGTCAGCATGTTGGTAGACCAGTCAGTCAGTTGGTAGACCAGTCAGTCGGTTGGTAGACCAGTCAGGTGGTTAGTAGACCAGTCAGTATGTTGGTAGACCAGTCAGTCGGTTGGTAAACCAGTCAGGTGGTTAGTAGACCAGTCAGGTGGTTAGTAGACCAGTCAGTATGTTGGTAGACCAGTCAGTCGGTTGGTAAACCAGTCAGGTGGTTAGTAGACCAGTCAGTATGTTGGTAGACCAGTCAGTATGTTGGTAGACCAGTCAGTATATTGGTAGACCAGTCAGTCGGTTGGTAGACCAGTCAGTATGTTGGTAGACCAGTCAGGTGGTTAGTAGACCAGTCAGTCGGTTGGTAGACCAGTCAGTATGTTGGTAGACCAGTCAGTATATTGGTAGACCAGTCAGGTGGGTGGTAGACCAGTCAGTATGTTGGTAGACCAGTCAGTAAGTTGGTAGACCAGTCAGTATGTTGGTAGACCAGTCAGGTGGTTAGTAGACCAGTCAGTATGTTGGTAGACCAGTCAGTATGTTGGTAGACCAGTGAACCGGTTAGGTGGCACACCTTGCAAACCTTTAGCTGCTCTGATTCTCCAATTAATTCAGAACCAAAATGAACCTTTCTACAGGAACAAGGACTAAAGAAGGATGTCCACACACCTGTTCTGCTGAAGGTGGTCTTTTAAAACCTTGTAGAGGAACTGCAGAACTAGAACAAGTAGAAGAAGTCATGATGAGGCTCATGCAGAAAAGAACTGCTCACCTGCAGTAGGAGAGAGTCCTTCGAACACTGACCTTCACACAGCAGTTTTCTGATGCAAGTCTCACCTGCAGAAATAAATAAATAAATAAATAAATAAATAAATAAATAAATAAATAAATAAATATTTGCTGTAGCTGACGACTGACCCAGAGGAAAACCATCCAAACAGGCAGAGATGGTGTCAACGATGAGAGGACTCTGCTCTGAAGACCAGCAGCTCATCAGGTCCCACAAACAGCTGGACAGACAGTCCACGGTCCGCTGCTGGAGCCACTCAGGAACTGAACTCAAAGTACTGACAACAACACAGTACTATTATTCTATTTACAGTACTGCAGTATTGAAACAGTGATGTTTACCTGAAGTACTGAGGTAACGTGTAAGTGTACCTGGACACGGCTCGTCTCAGGGGGTTCTTGGCCTGCAGTGAGGTGAACACCAGGACCAGGGCCTTCAGACAAGCATCTAAAACAGAACCGGGCTTTTCCTGGGGTAAGGCCTCCAGCTGGGTCGCTGCCTGAGCACAGGAACACCAGCGGTTCTGATTTGGACCGGTAACAAACAGGTACATGTCCAACAAAAGATCCAGTCCAAAGTGGTCCCACCTTTTTAAACAACTGGACCTGMTGAACTGAGTCCTTTAGCTCCAAACAGGACTGCAGGGTCCGGGCTAGCTGCTGGACTCCATCAGGTCCTTCTTCTACAGCAAGGCATGCTGGGACACAACAACACAATGAGGACACAACAACACAATGAGGACACAACAACACAACACAGCATGTGCAGCGAGGACACACACAGCTGATCGTTCTCTTACCCATCAGTTGTTGGAGCTGGTCTGCATCCAGAACCAGGACCTGGACCTTACAAGTCTTCTTCACCATGACTCAGTCCTGTGGTTCAGTTCTGACCCACAGGAAGCAGATCAGTTTAAATATTAAAATTATTAAAACTAAATTAAATTAATTAAATTTAATTAAATTATTAAATTAAATTAAATTAAATTACATTAATATTAAAACAAAACATTCACTGATTCTAGTTCTGTTTGGTTATAACC